AAGATTTTGTTAGATTCGTCTAAATGTAAGTTTATTAATATCAACTTTTTATAATTTTCTAAATTATACAATTTGAGTTGTTAAAGGTCAAAGACGACTCTTGAATACCGTACAAAATGATATGGTGCAAGTAAAAAGAAACGGAGCGAGTAAAAGTTATAATATAGTACTACACTGCAACAAATCCAATAACATTTCGAATAATAATCTCCGTATTAGGCATGAATGGGAAATTGGTCAAACTTCAAAAAAGTGTCACCACAACTATAGAAATGTAGCAAGCATTAAGGGAGGGAGGGATTAGTTACAAATAGGAAACTCGCATTCGACATTTTGTACTCCCTCTATTTCAAACTGTTTGCCACACTTTAAAATGACTTCGCTTACATTAAGAACGGGAGTAGGGCATTAGTCATATTCCTTACCGTCAATCTCTGATACTGCATTCATCAGAAAGAATAGAATTATCACACAGAAATTGCAACTAGATGAATCAATACTTGAAAGCTGTACCTGTATCATAGCAGCAACATTACATTCGTTCAAAAGAGAGTACCCATCCCAATTAATATTTGTATTCGCTATCCACTTGCAAACTTCATAGAATGAATCTCCCTGTGAAATAACAAATTCATAAAGATTAATTAATTAACTAAACTTTCAAGAAAGAATGAAAGATATACAGTAGCACACTACTTTCCCATTACTTCCTAATTAGGCTGTAAAAATGATCAAGATTGCAAACAAATTGATGCAAAAGATGTGAGCAGAACTGAAATCCTGCGTGAAATTCAATTGTTTAATTTTGAGCATATGATTTCATACAAACAAATAGGATTGCCACAAAGAATGTTTAGCTATTGTTCAGAATATCATTTGTAATTGTATGTAATTTATCATTTTACTTGAATTTAGGGTTTTAGTTTGGACTGAATTATTTTCCTTTGAGGAACTGGAAGCCTCCATATTATTTTCCTCCCTTGAAAACCATTCACATCTTCATTTTCAATTTCACGAATTATAGTAATAGCTGATTTTATTGTGAATCCCCCTGTTGGTGACCCTTTCCAGTAGATTTCATCCACCGTTTCCTCATCATCAATAACAGAATGTGCAGCAATTTCTCCCAATACATTCTCAGGAAGGTAATCTGAGAAAAGCTCAAGCTTCCAGTCCACATTTTTGTCCCACTGTAGGCGTCGTTCGAAGTACGCCTACGTTAAAAGCATGTGGTGAATATGCTTGGCACTCATAAGAAGTGGGAATTGACATAACGATTAGGGACAAATAAAGTAGAGAAAATAAGAATAATAAAATTCTGGTTGCCCTGTACATCAGAAATGAGGGGGTATTTATAGGGAAATGTGCTGAGGGAGCACTTGGAACCCTAAAATGATAAAAACCCTAAAAATTTATCCCGTGACACGGTCAGACTGTACCGTCAGACGGTACACTTTCCCGTGACACGGTCAGTTTTGGAGTGACGCGGGAAATTTTCTGAAAACGGAATGAAAAACGCGTTAAGGGTTTACGCGGAAAGGACTCGGAACATCCCGTGTCACGACAGACCTCCCGTGTCACGGGAAGTCCCACCGTCAGACGGGAAGGGTTCCCGTGACACGGTCAGGCTGTACCGTGACACGACTCGGAACATCCCGTGTCACGACAGACCTCCCGTGTCACGGGAAGTCCCACCGTCAGACGGGAAGGGTTCCCGTGACACGGTCAGGCTGTACCGTGACACGGTCAGTTCCAGTTCATTTTTCCGTCTAAATTCATTTTTAACCCTAATTTCTTTCGGCTTTTTAAGTGCCGATTGATAATTTCGGCCTTTTTCCTGACTTTTATTATTCGGGCTAAAATAAGAAAACAATGAAATAAAAATAAATAAAATATTTTGGCCAAAAATAAATAATAAAATAAAAAGGTTTGGGCTTAAAATTAATTAACAAGCTTGGGCTAAAATTAAAACTATGCTTTTACCAAATACCAAGACTAATCCATGGACCTTTCAAAAATAAGAATTTAATAAAATACGATTTTTTAAACACTCTCGGGATTAAATACTAAACCCGACCAACAGTGGCGGTGAAAGGTTATTTATCATCGGGTTTGGTTTTGGGGAGACATTTTTAGGTGTCTACAGAAGCCCCCACTTTGACTGAGTTTGTAGAAACGTCAGTTTTGAAAACGATAGTCAAAGTAGTCGATAGGGATGGAGAATGATTTAAGACGTTATGCGATCCTAAATCACTCTGTATACGTCGATACCTGCAGAAAAATGTTAGTTCTACAGATAAAAGAGTAAAGGGATAGAATACGTATCTGGCACCAGTGTGTCGGTGACAAACGAATTTGGCAGCTTCCTAAGCTTGAAGGAATCCACCGAGTGACATTTGTTGAAATGCTTCCCATGCTTGAGGAAAGCCGACTGAAGAGTTTGGTACCTTTCTAAGCCTGAAGAAAGCTACCGGATAATACTTTCCATGCCCAAGGAAAGTCGACGAACGAATTTGGTGTCACTCTATGCTTGAAGAAATCCACCGCTAATGCCTTCCATACTTGAGGAAAGCCGACAAAGGAATTTTGTGGTTTTCTATACTTGAAGAAAAATCCACTGATGATGCTTTCCATGCCTGAGGAAAGCCGACTTGGCGGTTTTCTATACTTGAAGAAAAATCCACCGATAACGCTTTCCAAGCCTGAGGAAAGCCGACTATTGCGGAAAATTGATAAGTATATGGTGATTCGATTATCCCCGAACGTGGGCCGCAGATGATTCACAATTTTAAGCCGATTATCCGACCATATTAAATGCTTAAAATGCCAAAAAAATAGGCTTTGACGCTTTCCAGGGGTAAGATGGTAATTTTAGCCCCCCCTAAAATATCAGTTGGGATTTTCCGCGTAACTGTAGCGGAAAATAATCGCCCAATAAACTCGGAAAGTCAGCCAAACTGGTCAAAAAGCCAAGAATATTCCCTGACCAAGCTCAGTTTTGTCGCGCCACGTCATCAGGTTCCCGTGACACGGTCAGGGATTCCCGTCAGATGGGACTAGAATCCCGTGTCACGAGACTCCTATTTTTTTTTTCTTTTTCTTTTTTTCTTTTCGCTGTTTGAATCAGTCAACAACGGTTATTTTTTTTTCTTTTTTGTCCTTTTCTGTCTTTAAATTTACATGCTTGCTTTCACCATTTCACATTTCTCCTTCACACTTGCTTTCACCCTTCACCATTTTTGCTCCTTTCTTACTAAAAACTGCCGCGCCACGCTTGAGGTTAACCGTCGGCCGTCGAAGCTCGCCGTGACACGGTAACGGCGACCGTGACACGGTTAATCTGATTTTTTTTCTTCTCCCCTTTTTTTTTGCTGCAGTTTTTTGGCTACTGTACTGCGCTGCTGCTGTTTCCGTTGCTGCTTCTGTTTCTGTCCCGGAGTTGCCGCCCAGATTTGTCGGAGCTTCGTCAGGCTTGAAGGTCGCCGTGACACGGTTAGTCTTGACCGTGACACGGTTAGTCTTGCCCGTGTCACGGCAGCTGCGCTGGTGGCCGGAACACGTTTTCGAGTTTTGGAGTTCGAATTTCACCAATTTTGTTGTAATTTCTCGATCTTCTCCTCATTTTCGACCCTTTACAAACATTCATGTAAGCTCCCTTTGATTTTTGCTTTGAATTTGCTTCACATTAACAATTTCATGACAAACCCTAAAAAATCAATTTGGGGGTTTTTTATTTTTAAGCTTTATGTTGAAATTCTTGCCATGATTTTACTTGTATATGTGTACATGTGTGTTTGTGAGAAATTTGAGACAAAAATTGCATGATTTGATGGAGAATTGAGCAAATCACCATTTTTGGGTGCTACTTTGTGAAATTGTGATGATTGTAATTATTATTATGATTATTATGTTGCTTGATATTTATTTTTATTGCTTGATCACGCCTTTATTGCATGTTTAAAGGGAATTTGTACTTGTAATCACGCTTAATAAGATAATTAATAATCTTGTTTAGGGTTAATGTGATTATAATTTCAAGTGATCGCCAATAATAGGTTTATTTGTGCATTATATTCAACCAACATAGATAAACAGGTTTAGGGTAATCCTATTGATTGCATGTTAATTAAAAAGCGCACATGAATACGATCAGAATAAAGTAGAGGCCTATTATTAGGGCAAGTTCAATCTCTTTTAGGTTGGATTTGTACCTTCATCCCCGAACCCTTATTTGGTTCTAGACCTTATGGAGTTGACGATCTCTTGGATCGTTAAGGGGTGTAACCTTCATCCTATGAACGGTTTACAAGTTCCTAAAAAACTTGTTGGCGACTCTTTTGCTCTATCTTCTTCCCTTTTGGACGCCACTGTACTTTAGTGTATGATTACAGTGGGGTTCAAGCTGTTTTTTAGTCGCTTTTTAGGCCTTTTTCGACGCTAAAAAACGTCGCAAAAATAGTTATCAACGCTGCTAAAAAGTGTCGAGAATACGTGAGTCGAGAATTTTGAGGGACACAAAAAGCGTCGAAAATATCGACGCTTTTATGTGTCCTACATAATATACGAAGTGTCAGAAAATACTTATTTCGCGCATTATCCCAAATTTGTGTAATTTTTTAGCGACACTTTTACATGTCCACATACTCAAATTTAGCGACGCTTTTTGTTGTCTTGCGTTTATTCGTGTCAGCCTATGGTATGGCGGGAAACTCTTGAAATATGAAAATGTACAATATGTATACATTAAAAAGCGTTTAAAAAAAAAATTTAAAGCTTTTTTTTTCCTTTTATTAAATTATTACCATCATACATACATTATAGTTATTTAAATTTATCATAAATAAGAGTATGTAGTTAATTACCAAATTTATAAAAAATAAAAAAATAATAATAATAATAATCAACAATAATAAGAGTACGTAGTGAATAACCAAATTTATAAAAGAAAACATCAACACAATATATATATATATATATATATATATATATATATATATATACTAAAAATTAAAAATAAAATAAAACGTCGCATATTATAGTAGCTTGTCCCTAAATAAATACATCACTAATATAAGACTAAAAACCAAAATAGATAGATAGATGATGGCCTTATATATAGTCGCTTGTTTTAATGCTCAAGTGTTCCGACCTATTCTCTTGTTGCACCTACATTGCCTTTTCCAATCTTCAAAAAAAAAAAAAAAAAAAAAAAAAAAAAAAAAAAAAAAAAAAAAAAAAAAAAAAACTATAAATTAGTACATTACATAATATAGGCTCAAGATTCAACATTCTGTATTCAAACAACTAAAAGACCAATGTATTTAAACCAGAACATACATTGCTGAGAAAACTACAATTTTCAGAGCATATTAAGGAATAAGGACTAGTCTACAATAGAAACTAATAAAAGTCTTTGTATCAACCAAGTATAATGAAGCGCCATAATTATACTATGATAAATATCAAAGCATAAGATTAAACAATTTATATGAGGTTCAACACGTATATAAGTAAATATAAACAATGACAAAGCTAATAAAAAGGATAATCGACGCTTATACACACACACACAAGCTCTGAATTTCACACACACACACAAGCATTTTGAATTTCACATTTGATTTCAATCTGATTTTTAGTTCTGAATTCAGTTCTGGATTTCAGCTCTGAATTCAGTTCTGGATTTCAGCTCTGATTTCAAATCTGATTTTTAGTTCTGAAATTCAGTTCTAGATCCAGCACAGCAACAAAACTAGACAAGTAGACAACAATAGATGCAATGGATTAGTACATTAGAATATTGAGAAGACGGAGAGAAATAAAACATGGATTAATATAACACTTGCATATAGTGTCGTTTATATAAATTGTCTGCAGGCCCCTTAATACCAAAGCAATGGTGTAGAACTAAAAAAAAAGTGTATAGTAATAATTAATGTAATAGTAACAATCAATATCTACATTATGCATAAATGAATCATAAAGTTGTTTACATAAAACATGGCAAAATGTTTATGACTTACAGATATGGATATCCATATAACATAAGGAAGTTAAATGCAAAAATATCAAGAATCCATACTCCATGCTCAAAAGGTCAAAAGTCATATTGATTAATTATATCCTACCTTCTTATGAACAAAGAATGTGACTGATGAAAGCTCCATTCAAGGTACGATATTGGATATTAAAGTTTCAAAAATCAAAGCTGATGAATATAAGAAATCAAAGCTGATGAATATAAGAAATCAATAAGCGGCAAGACATGAAGATATCAAGTGTAAGACAATGATCTACCGTGTAATGCCGATTCTAAATAAATAGTTAATAGCTGCTCTTAATCTCAATGGCTTCACAAATAGCTAGTGTTCCAGCCTCAAATCTGAGCTAACAGAGTGGAATATTAAATTAAGATCATACATAAACAAAAAAACTCAATCATGGATATTGATACTATGATATAAAACCTAAGAATGAATATTTCATAATAAAAGCAACAGCTACTGAAGCTAAATGTCACCTAAGCCAAATTTTATACACATAATAAGTACTCATCTTTATTAGAATAAATCACCTTAAGTGTAGAGAGACTAAAGATAATTCATTTACAAGAATAAGTAACCTCTTACATGGAGTAAGACTGTAAGACGCCACCCCTTTCTTAAAGGAAAGCGTTTTGGCTTGGGAAAATTAGTCATATCTCACACCCCACCTAGTTACGTACTCCTTTTCCCATCTACCACAACCACAAATAATTAAGAATAACAGCAATAAAATACAAGAACTTATCAAATAATGAGCATACATCAGACGCTACAATAAACAATACTTGCTCAACCAGTGCACCAAATCAATTCAAGGCATAATATTTGTCGAATTTTCTTACTTAAGCATCCACTGACCTCTTTTGTCCAGTTATTAATACTCCCTAATTACCTATTAAGTTTAATAATAAGCTATGTAGCAAAAGCAAAACCATTACACTAATTTTATTAATTTTAAAAAATAGCTTTATGCATATGTATAAAGTTCCCAAAATATAGTCCCTCTTAGTCCAATTGCCAATGAAATAACTTTTGAAGATTTAAGAGCCCTTCATAACATCTCTACCAAAGTTGCAATATGGTTTTAGGACCATTTTATATTCATGTACTGTCTTCCTGATTGGAATTTGAAACATTTCACTCTGATTGGAATTTGGAACATATTATAAAAGCAAAAGCATGATATGAGAGTCCAATTTTAGAAAACAATACAATCATCCAGAGACATACCCATAAAGGTTATAAATTAGTCCAACTTGGAATGAAATTCAAGTTCCTGCATTCAACAAATAGCAAAATAATCCATAATCTGATTAAATATACAACCTAATCCATAATCTTCAATTTAGGTATCGTTTTTCACTTTGTACCAAAACCTTAATAACCAAAGAATTCCTATATTCAATGAAAAAAAATCTTTTTGATGAGACATCAATATTAAAACAATATAATTCATAGCAAAGTAATCTACTTCACCAATGTACACTAGAAGAACAAGTATAGCACATATATGCCAGGAACAAATTCCTCCCCTTCCACACTGCCCACCGCACAGCTTACTAGTAACCTTTCTCACTCTCTCTCAATGAATTACATTCAATGATTGTTAAAATGCAATCAATTTCCTTGTTTTATTGATTTTCTAAACACAGATAAGCGCCACTATAGACCCCCCTAGTATTCAATTACATCGAACTCTAAAAAATCCAAACCCAATTTATGCAATTTCTGAACTCATACCAAAAAATTGCAAAACAGAATCCCAATTAACAAATTAACACGATACAAGATTAATTAAAGAGATCGAAATCGTCCTTCATTCATACAAAGAATAAAAGAGGGCTAATTATTTGGAATTTTATTCAAATGGTAGAACAAAAAGAAACCCTAAAATATCTATTGCTCATGAATCAAACCCATTTATGACCATAATTTCGTGACATTACTTCTAAACACAGTCTAAAGAACTCAATTTAACAAAACAAAATTCAAGCCATGGAAGAAACAAGGTACCTGAATATTATCGACAAAGATCGAAAGAGATGAAATTGAATGCCATTAAAGGTGAATAGAGATATTCAGCAAGCATATGAGCAGTGCAAGGAGAACCAAGATCTGATTATGACATTCATGACGCTCTAAACCTCAATGCGAATTTAGGATGAAGTAGAGTCGTAGAGAGGATGAATAGTAAGGGTTGAGAACAGAGAATTGAAAGGGGTTTCGTGTTTGCTTTGGGCGGTTTTAATATTCTCAAATTAAATCTGAGATAGTGAACCGAGATAATTACAGTCACGTGACTGGCACAGTCTAGCAATCTAGCATTCTCGACGCTTTTTGGCGTCAAAAATTTATATCGACCTAAAAAGCGTCCAGAAAACACGCATATGGTATTTACCCACTAACACTATTACCTCGGCGTCGAGGCTTAAGCGTCGAGATTTTACTCATTTTGTAGTAGTGTTAGTTCCTTTGTAACTAGTGGAATTTCTACAGAAGTATGTCACTCTATAAATCAGCATAAATCAGCTACATTGTCTTGTAGTTCCTTAAGCTCTAACGTATCATAAAGTGTTAGTTTCTTGAAGGGATTTAGAGCATATCTTGACCAAGGAACACATGAAGCCTTCCAACAAGGTGTAAATGAATTAGCTAAGGTGTAGAACCATGAACTTATTTAGGAACACCAAAAATCATTTGATAAGTCTTTATGAACAGATATGAGCATAGTTCCTACAACAAGGAACTTTGTCAGGTTCGTATTTTTATAGCTAGATAATGAGTTGATTGCATATCATTTATTTTGCTGCTTACATGGGAATCAAGTTGTTTGTAATAGATGTCTAATATGAATTTTCTAAATATTCTAATTAAGGATGTCTATGAGGAACAACCTTTAGGATGTGAAAATCCTAAATCTTTTTGCCATATTTATGAACCTAACAAAGCTCTTTAAGTGTTGAAGCAGGTTCATACTCAATGGCATAGGAGATTATTCAAGTTCCCTCTTGAAGCTAATGAGAAAATTAATTGTTTTATTTTCAAGAGGAACTTATTGATTTATTAGCTGTAAATACTTATATTGTTTATATCTTTGGTGCAACTAACGAATCTTTCTGTAAGGGATTTCTAACCTTGTAAAAGCATGATGGGGAACTCATTTTCTCTTTGGATCAGCATCCAAAATAAGAGAAAGGCATGGTGGTCTAATCGACAAAAATACGACAAGGAACTTTAAAAAAAAGATGGCCAGTGACATCAAAGTGACTTAATGAGTTTCAAGTCAAAAGTGATTGTTCGCATCGGATGTGAGTGTATCAAGAGGATGGAACAAATCCTTGAGGAACTCGTAACTTAGCCATCAAATTTCGGTCCATTGCAAATTTATTGTGATACATGGTGAAATATAACTTGAGGTATGTCCTCTTACGATATTACATAGCTGATGTTGAATTGAGTGTTGTATTTATTAAGGAACTTGCAATATGATGTTTGAATATGTGGAATCTCTTTCTTATGCTTTCACCTAATTAGTAAAGTATGGACTCTTTTAAGGAATAAAATATGTTGAAGTATGGCATGAGCATATATACATATTTCTTTCTTATAATTGTTAAGTGTGGTTTCTTGTGCACATTATAAATGAAGTAAAATACATACATACGCTTAAGTGTAATGTGTCACACTTAATTATGGTGTTGTAAAAGACATATTTACTTGCCTAAAAGTGTCAAAGGGTATCGTTGAGTATTATGTATGTTGTCAAATACAAAAATCCTAAGTTGCCAAAGGAACAATGGAAGAAACTTTGATGGAATAGGACAGGTACATTCCCAAACTATTTTATCTCATATGGTTATATATTCTAGAGGAAACGAACCTATGTTTTTGCCAACTTTCAAATTATCCACACCATTCATCTTCGAAAACAACATTATTCTACAACATTACGTTGAGTGTTCGTGTTGTGTTATGGTTTGTGTTTCTCATTTTCATATCTTACATATACATAACTTTGAAGATCCTTATTCATTATGTTTTCCTTAGCTCATTCATATCCTCCCACTCTATTTTCACTTAATCCATGTGCTCTAAGTTAAACTCATCCCTTTTTATGGTTCAATGATACATGAAGAGTTGATGAATACATGTCGAGGGGGAAGTTGTGAAAGGAATGAAGTGCGTATGATTTATCATTTGATGTCTTGGAGGAATAATCAGCTTGAGGAATTTCCATAATAAATTTCAAGATGAAAAAGAATGATAAGGAACTAAGGTAAAATAAGGGAGGAACCAATTAAAGTGGTTCATATATTTGGTGTGGAACTCAATAGTATATGAGTAAGTTCTATCTTCATTACTGTAAAAGAAAAATTTGAAAGTCACCAAAAAAAAAAAAGGTGATTATTGAATCTTTAGATGATGAAGGATTTTATTCATGAAGCCTGAGAAAGCTAAGGAACAGAAGGAGATATTGAAAGAACTTGATCATGAATATTCAAGTTTCACTTGTGAACATGTTCCTTAAGGAAGGTTGGTGGTTGAAGTGAAGGGAACTTGGTAAGTACATATATATCAAGGTAATTATGTGTGTTGTTGTGTTTCGTTGAACATTCAAGAGTGTGAGATGAAGGTAATTAAACTCTTATGATTGTTAAGAACCTTATCTCAAATTTCTAAACTAAGAGCACAACATTTGTCTCAAGTTCCTTCTACTCGAAATATTTCCATTATCTTCTTTCATATCTTTTGAGCTAAATATTCATTATCCTTTTCTCTAACAAACTTTCAAAATCAATCTTTGCTTGATTTTGTATCTAATCTGTCAAGTTCCTTCATTGGTTTTGAAGTTGGGTCTTTGGATTGTGAATTGGAAACTTGTGTAGCAGCATCCTAGTTTGAAAATTGAGTATCTTAAGCTTTTAGGAATACCAAGTGTTTAACCATTTTTATGGTGGTATGTATGACATTTTCCCTTATGTATGTATGCATAAATGATTAAATTGAATTAATAAATGTGTGCAAGAATACCCTTTTCGATAATGACAAAAGGGGGAAGAATATGTGTGTATGTGATGCTTATTATGTGATGTGCTTATAGAAATGCTTATTGAATAATTATTGTAGCAAAGATAAGTCATATTGATGTACGTCCATATAATGTACTTCAAATTACATGTTATTATCCTTTTATGAGTAGTTCCTTATCGTACATGCATGAATTGTTCAATAGCACCTAATTTGCATGATTAAGGGGGAATATATACACATCTTCTGTTATCTATCTTGTGATAATCATCATTTGTTTGTCATCATCAAAAAGGGGGAAATTGTTGTAAGGTTTTGATGATTGTGAACAAATGATGATTATCTAACTGGTATGTGTATTGAGATGTGCATGAACAAGTCATGAAGCATGAAGATGATTGAGTACAGGTTAGACCATCATTGAAGATGGTTCCCTAAATACAATGTATGGATCGTGCTTGAGTTCCTCAAGGGGAACACAAAGAGAAGAAGTCTAAACGTACAAACGTATTGTTAGACTTTACATGCAGTTCCTAAGAAGAATGAGAAGATGTTCTTTGCAAGGAAGGAGCAGCAGTTCCTCAGGGGGAACAAGTAAAGAGAAGTTCCTTAGAGAAGAGAAGTTCCTTTGCAGGAACAGAAGTGTCGGAGTAGATGCTTCACCAGAGAAGAGAAGTTCCTTGACAAGAACAGAAGCATCGGAGTAGAAGCTTCATCAGAGAAACATGAAGACAGAAAAATAGGAGTATATTTTTCTAGGAATCATGTAAGTATGTTGGAAAAGAGAAATTGTCTGGAACGAGCCTAAGGAACTACATTGGAACTCCAGTCAGTAAGGAACTTAGTGTTGATGACCAGTAAGTTCCTTACTAGTCAGTCTAGAATTCGTTTATAGAAGGAACACGAGTTTGCACAGCATTAGAAGTCTGTTTTCCACGTTAAATAGTCATTGCATTTTGTTTGCCTACTTTATAGGAAGTTAGTTTTGACTTGGTATTAATATTTATTATTAGATTTTATTTTATAAAAGATAAGTTTTTAAAATAAAATCTGATTTTCTCTCGGTCAAAAAGATAACTTATTTTCCTAGTTTCTAGGGATTTAGTTTTCAAATAAACTAATTTATAAAATGATTTTATTTTATAAAACAAATTTTTATAATCAAAATCTGATTTTATTGTAGTCAAAGTCGTGGGAATATTTTTTTCAAAGTGGTTACCTTAAAAGTAGGAGTTCAGTTGAGATTTTGTTTGTTAAGGAACAAAATGAATCTGGTCTATATGTGAAGTTAAATTAATGAACGAGTGTGTTATTTTAACTTATCTTCTTAAAGAAGTCAGTTTTAAACTCCTATTTTTTAGCACAAGGACTTGGTCCCCAAGGAACTTGTGGCTGGAATTCGCAAAACGTGCTGATTGCTTTCCTAACAAAAAGGAAGTTATTGGACAAGTCGTGGAGCAACTAATTGACCCATTATTGTTGCTTATAATCAGAATTAGTTTTCTATTCGTGGGCTTAAAGATTCGGACCATTTCTGATCATAAGGAACATGGGCAATTAGTGGGTTTTCTAATCTTCTATAAATATAACTTTTTTAATTCTTTCAAAACGGTCTGACTTTAGAGAGTCATTCCATATAGTGTCTCGCTTAAGTGGAATAGTTTTTCATGAGAAATATATCATGTCTTCCACGTTGGTGAGTCAGTTCCTTTAGGTTCCAAGTTCCTTACATGTCTCAAAGTGTCCAACATATTAGTTTCGTACATCTATCTTTCATATGTATTTGAGAAATGTTTAAGGGTTTGAGTGAACTCTTGTATTGAGGAATTTGTAAGGGTTTGAGTGAACTCTTTTATTGGGGAATTTATAAGGGTTTGAGTGAACTCTTGCATTGCTGAATTAGAAAGTTTGAGTGAACTTCTATTTGTGAGAAAGAGAATAGAAAGAGAAGTGAGAAGAGAAGTGAGAAGAGAAAGAGAAGTGAGAAGAGAGAAAGAGAAGAGAAAAGTAACAAGTTGGGTGACTTGTTCCTCGGGGCTTTGAGTTCATTGAGGAACTTGAATTAGAGTCTTTAGTTTGTAATAGGTCATTTCCCTATTCTAGTGAAGATTCTTTTCCTAAAATCCCTTGTGGTCGTGGTTTTCCTCCTTGATTAGGGCCAAGGAGTTTTCCACGTAAAAATCTCTCTTGCACTTTTAGTTCCTTTAGCTAT